TTTTGATTTCATTGTTTAGACATTTCAAAAAAAAAAAAAGAGAGAGAGACAAGAAAAAATCTCCTCTATTTGACATTGTTTTTAGTTGTAACTTGTGCTTGGTCCTCATAATATATAAATATTCCTTTGAGCTGCTCTACTCCCATAATTTTCTAATTACCCTTACATCATCGTATTATATTAATATGATTTTAACTTGTTGACCTTTATGCTTTACTGATCTGTTCCTTTGTCTCTTATGTAATTACAAGGCTTTTTGTAGACCAATTTGTGGACGTTGTATATAAATAAGGTCATTATTTGTTTTTTTTTATGGTTACACGTTCAGGATTTCGGTGTAGCATCTATTATGAAGCTTTATAAGCCATCATGTTAATTTCAACCTGAGCTGAAATTATGTAAATGATATGCTAATGGTAGGCTGCTCGGATGCTGTCATATCTACAATGTTTTACTGCAGTCATGAGCCAAGAAAGCAGCTATTATTCGCGACTGTCAGATGAAGAATACAGAGGCAGGCAAGCAGGCAGAACAGAGACAGATGAATACAAAGGGAGAGACGTACGTCAGTGTGTATACGACTAGAAGGAAGAGGACGGCTATAAAAATGCTACAAGAGAGGGCACTACAGAGAAAAAAGAAGATTGATTGAGGAGTAGGGAGAGGAGAGGGAGGGTATCAAAGACACACTTTGTGCCATCCATCATGTACTGTTTAAGTGACTTAGGGTGGTTACATATGAGGGTGCAACACAGATTAATCAAGTCAGAATCGAGTACATATTTGTCGCAGTCGGAATTTGACACCTAAAGAAGTTCATTTAAAGCTCTGAGATTAAAACAAAACATTTCTTGAGTAAAAAACTTTTCTTTCATTCTTTCATTCAAGACATTTTTATAGATTAGCTTGGTGTTTGCTGTGACTTGTGGTGTATGCGCTGATTTTTTTCAATATTATTGTTGTGATTCCTGGGTTTTGATAGTTAGTTCTTTTCTGTTTACTTTCTTTGCTCTCAGTTATTCTCGACTATTACTTGAAATTTCAATGTTTACTTCAGCCATACATCTTGCCCTGTATCACCAAGTCAGTTCACCATAGTAAATCCAGATAATGGAAACATATCCTGTGATATGAGCAATGCAAAGTCTCAGATGCAGTGGTGTAAAGCATGGACCTACTATATTAATTGAAAGCAGGAAGAAAAACTAGCAAAAATGCTCACTGTGTAAAATAACAGACTTATCCATTTCACAGCTCCACAACGAGATAATTCGATGTTATTTTTATTATTGATTGTTTTTCCATTAGTCTGTCGTGGTAGCATCCTGCAGACCAGCGTGGCTCTCAGTCTGCTGATGGACACTTTCTGTGCTTGCTTGGCCATGGGGTCTCCTGAAGCAGTAGATGGGCATCAGAGAGACTGTGGCTTTAGCACTTGTGGAAGCAAAAGCTCAGTTGTGAGAGGACTCCATGGGAGGCCGCAGAAGAGGACTGTCAGCAGGTCTCTATGAAGAAAAGCAGGGCTTTTCTGTTGAACTAGACTGGGAATATCTTTGGGCAGTGGAAAGAGCACTTGAGGAACTGTTAAACCCAGCCAAAATCTCCTGTGTGGAGGAGACAGACCCTGAAAAAAAGGGAAAGCTTCACCAGTTGCACTGGCAGAGCTTGCTGGGGTAGTTAGAAAGCTCTCTGGTGGTATTACACCGCTAAGCCTCCTAGGGAAAATTTATTCCAGGGTGCTTGAAAGAATGTTCTGACTGACTATTGAGCCTCGTATTCAGGAGGAGCAATGCTGAGTCCATCCCAGCCATGGAACAGTGGACCAGATCTTCACCCTATGAGATGCTTATATAACCAATCAGCGCTCTCAGCTGATTCTAAACCCAAACTCTGAACACATAACCTGGTTGGGAGCAGGTTATGTGTTTATCATGAGTTACTATGGTGATGCAGCCAGATAAAAAGAGAGCCTTAAAGCTTGGTAGAGTTCACTGACTCATTAATATTGCTTTATAATAAACCCCTCAGTAATCAGTGTGCATTTAAAAATTCTAATTGGACCTCTTGGTGAAATTATTCCCAATAAACACAAAATACTGATTAGTACAAAGACATTGCATCCATGAAACAAAATGCAATAGGCTGTAATAGCATCCAGCTTGCTGACAATGTGAACGCAATACTCTGTATTCTGCCTCTGTAGCCATATAGCTGTTTCTTGATTCTGACTATCTGTGTTTTATACTCCCCAAAGTCTTCTTTTTCACTTCAGTAAAAGTAACTGTTGTTAATTATTTATTAGCTCCAACTCTTAACACGATCAGCTCAGCACTGAGAAAAAAAAACCCTCAAGTGCACAGAAACCCCACCACCAATCTAGTGCTTTGTAGACGGTCTCATTGTGGATTCATCGCATGTAAAAAAAAAAAATCGAGCTTAACCCAGCAGTCAGGATCCTGCCAGTGTAGCCATCAACCGTTTCCAGTTGTACAAATCCATTCTCTCTTTTTTTGCGGTGGAGTCATTTCAATTAAAGTAAAAGTCGTCCAGCATTTATTAGCTCCAATTCCGACATGATCTGCTGAGCTCAGTTGCAATTGTTTAAAGCAGACGAAGAACTTGAGCGCAATAATACTTCTGAAACGCTATTTGGCATTGGTATACTGCAATTAAGCACTTTATTTTAAGGTTTGTTTGAGAAGCCTGACATCAGAATTGATGGATTTCTAAGTCTTACTTCAGCTCGTATTCCCTCTAGACGATTTGGTGACCTTCATTTGCATGTCGAGCAGGGAACAGAATCAGATTTGTTGCTTAATTTCAGCTTTCAGATGATGTAATCACGTATTGAACTCCTCATACCACGAACAGGCTTTTGTTGTCAAAGTCATATTCTCGGTGAGAAGTACACATATCCCGGGTCCCTCTTGGTCAGCCCCAGTTCCTGTTTCTCAGCATCTCTTGTCTTTTTAATTCTGCCTTTCTTGTCTGCCTTCACATCCTATCGCTCGCTCCTTTTTCTGACTCTGGCCTTTCTTTTGCTCCTTCTCACTTTATCTTCCTCTGTCTGTCAGCCTTTTATCACTTTCTCCAAGTACATTTCCTTCACTCTTATCTCTGTCTTTGCTTTTCAGTAACTTTAACCCAGCTCACACCTTGGCTTATCACATGACAGCTTTAATACTAAGTTAAAACCTGACTCATATAACAGTAGGCTTTTTAATAGGCTGATCACCCATGTCTGTTTTAATCAGACTCACTGCCCAACTATAGAAGAGAGGCTTCATTAATCCCATCTATGAAGGACGGAATCATCACGTTGTTCCGGGCTGTCTTTCTTCGCTCACATTAGATGCAGGCGCATAAGCCTAGACTGCTGCATATATCCACACACAAACACACACACACACACCTCTATACTCAGTATGGTTGAATGGACTGAAGCTGATGTTTCATAAGGCAGGTCGTGTCAGGTCAGACCGCCTCTGTACTTTATTCCACGTGTGCTTTTTCTCTCTTCAACTCTTCTCTCTTTGCTCCGCGCTGTATAATCAATCACTTCTTCTTCTCTTATATTTGTTTCAGTGTCCCCAGGCATCTATTAATATTTCTCATGTATTTTCCTTTTCCTGTCTTCTATCAACTGATCACAGTTTTTTTTTTTCATTGTTTCTATTTTCTGCTTACATTCACTTTATTTTGCCTGTCATGGCTCCTTGATCAGCTGAGATTCATATTTATATATATATATATATATATATATATCTTACCTTTATCTTGCTTTAATGGGGCCAGTGGGCATTTATATTAACTTCCCTGTTAAGATGCTACAGCTTTCTTAATTGCCCATTTCCATCTCTAGCCCCCGCTGAGGCTAGGTGGGCACCTGAGTTACTATTTATCTTTGTCTTCATAATCAGAACAGCCTTTTTCTCATGAAGTTAACTGACCAGTCGTAGGTTTGAGGTAACATTGTGTCTTTATGATTTTGTTTGGTTCCTGGCTTGATCCCTCTTTATGTGGAGTTTGCATGTTTTCTCTGTACCTGTGTGTGTTTCCTCCGGGTCCTCTGGGCTATGGATGTAAGATGCTTAAAGTGCTATGGCATTCACGTAAAATGCTTTGAGTGCTCAGTAACAAGTGCGTAATATTTTCTCCTGAATTCAGTCTGGTTTATTTGGTATTTTCCTAAACTTTCCACTGTAATTTTTTAATTCTTGTTAGCCTTTTTCTCCCCACCAGACTTTATGACATTGCTGCATTTCATAGTGCATTTCCAGTCCTGCATGTTACTGGAATAGCGTTAAACCAGTGGCACTGTGTGTCCATGTGGACTAGACCAGAAAAGCAAAGCAGGTACCCATTCATTATTCTTAGACAGGTCAAAACCTTAATTAATGTTCTATATGTTAATTTTCTGTCATTCATTTAAGCACTTTGTAGGTCATGTGCACTTTTTTTTTTTTACTCTGGCAAACCTCTAACTCCGTCTCCACTCGCTAATTGCAGCTGATTCAGAATGAGCATTAGCTAAAGACATTGATCGAACATGCCTGCCCTGCCCCTTCACTTAACTTTAACGCCTTGTCATCCTGTCTGCTTCTGAGCCTTTTGCCTCGTCTCCTTAGTGTGTTTTTTTCCTTTTGTGTGTATCCTTGCCTCCCCTTTTTTTTCTGCTGTCTTTGGGGATGTCAGAAAATAAAAACTAAATAAAAAAAACAGGCCCTTGGAGGGATGTTGTAGCTTTTTAAACTGTGGTTTCTCTTATCACAGTTTGCCACTGGCTTGTCATGTAGCAGGAAGTAGCTTCCATGTAGGCACTAAGTTTAGCAAAAAAAAAGCCCTTAAATCCCCAGTGCAACGAGTACCTTCCATCCATGGAGAACAAAGCACTCAGACACACACAGACTAATTCTAGATTCTTACTTTGTATTTTCCGGTTATTTACCTTTGGAAATTACTAGATACAAGTGACAATAGCTTATTGACTTCTGCCACAGTCAATTTGTTGTCTGTTTTCGTCTGTAATTCTCTTATTTTCTGTCTCTCAGCTGTCAGAAGCCAGGGACAAGACACTTGAGGGTGTGGAGCGAAAAGTTGATTACAAAGAGCTAAAGGGCAAAGACCCATCAACGGCAGAACTGGCCAAGAAAATTGAACAGGTACGCGACACTTTTAAAATACGACTTTATTGCAAACGTTTTCAAAGGGAATACAAAAAAGGTGTCTCTCCGCTCTGTCTCTGCACTGTAGCTTGAGGTGAATCTAGCTGAGCGCGAGAGACAGTTGCTGGAAAAAGAACTCCTGGTGGACCAGGTGACCCGGCTCTCAAAGCCACTCAGCGAGCAAGCTGAGAACTGCCAAGAGGACAGACTCTCACTGGCGAAGAAGGTAGACTCTTGTATATACATAGAGAAGAAGCTCTGCTCATATAGACACACATAGGGTGATACAGAGACAAACACACACAGTCCCACACAATACAATATACTCTCAGATACAGAGAAACATATTATTCACCCGTTATCTGCAGCGTGGTCTTTTATCTCTCTCTTTGTTTCCCTCACGAACACACTGACACATTGTTTGAGGAGCATGTGCAGCCCATGTGAGGAGCGTGCAGAGTGAGCATTTGGGAGTTCACTGAGCATTACAGTTTCTTTACACTCCCACTTGCTCTTCTTTTCCTCTTCAGCTATAAATACCCTCATCAAAAGCTAGTGGAACAAGCTTCATAGCCCATAATCATTTGTAGAAATAAGTCACAGTAGCACTGAAAGGAATTTAATTTGAAATGAAGAAAATCTTGAGCTCAAATGTCCTCACACGGTAGACAGGCAACTACTCTAGTTGCAGTTTACATCCTTGCTCGAAGACCTTAAGGGGATCTATTAGGCGGAGCACAGAGATTAGTGTCATTCATTCAGCATTCATCCAAATGTGAAATAAGGTCAATGGTCCTGGGTGGTTTTGCAGAACATCATGGTGTCACATTGTAGTTAACCTAAAAGACCACCTCTTCATCATTTGTCATCTCAGACAGTGCTGTTAAATTTTGTTGAAACCAGTCTATTAATTCTTAAGTGAAGGGAAAGAATGTTTTTTGTATACATGATATTTGACCACCAACTTCTCATCAGCTCATCCTCGAGTCAAACTAACTAGATTTAATGAAATTCCCTCCAAGTGTACTGGGATGTTGCGTTCCCAAGAACGTGACAGTAAAATTCCTTTGCTAAGTAAACGTTAACATGAGAAAATCTTGGGGTGTCATGTATAACTGTATGGCATGTAAGACAGGACCCAAAGGCAGGACTTTGAGTAGCTCCTTTGCTGTGACTACTTAAACATAAAAGCACTAAAAAAGGAAAACTCAGAAACAAGAAACTAGGAACAAAAAACTAGAAATAAACAACTAGACATTTACCACTAAGAGTTAACAAGGGAGATGAAGGAAACACACAGCAAATGGGGACGGCGTGACAATGATCAGAGCAAAACCACTGAAGCAAGGAGCACAAGAGTCCAAAACAAAGACCTAGCAGTTCAGAAGGCAGAAGGTGTGCCCTGCAGCAGAGATGGACCATTACAGGAGGCCGGCTACCTGGCCAGTAGCGCAGACGAAGGAGCTCTGCAGGATGACCTTGTGGTCCAGAAACGTAGAAACACTGGGTCACAGATCCAGTACTATGACATGGGGATTTCTAATTGGTGATGTTTGAAAGTTAAAGAGAAAATTCATGAGGTCTCAGTGACCCTGTTATTTGACCGTAATCAACAATGAAAATCAGTTTTAGTTTAAACTGGTTTACTTGGATCTCTGAGAATAGGACAAATGATCTGAAAACATTATCCCAGAGGCAGGACAAAGTACACTAGACCTGTACACTACATTACACTCTCTGATTAGCTTGACTCTGAACATTTATGAAGAATGATCTACTCTGTGCCTCTGTCTATATGTTCTCTGCTTCCAGCTGAATGAGCTCCGAACTAACATAATCAACACCAACCACCGTATGATGGCCATTTCTGCAGAACTTTCCATGAAGCAGGCTGCTGCTTTATCTCTACAACAACAGATCAAAGAGAAGGAGCTACAGGTCAGGGGGGATGACCACATGTAGCCACAACAAAGGGATCTAGAAATCTACACCGAGCTCTTGGATGTGCAACTCCACAGTGTCCCACTGGTTTTCTCTTTATTTTTATTTCTACTCACTGATCATGATTGAAGGGCGCACTGGCTCATCGTATCCAGTCTCAAAACAACTCGAGATTTCATAACTAGACCTTACTCATGGGTGACAATGTCCATCTTTTATTAGGAATCTGTGGAATCAACATCTAGCAGTTCAATATTTACAGAATTTATGTATGCTTTAAACTATGGCTTTATAGTATGTTGGTTTATATAATTGCTTGGCTAACAAAAGGTTGACGGTTCAATTCCAACTAAACATTACAAATTTTGGGGGGTATATTATTGCAGGTGCCTGGTGTGAAACTGCCAAATCAAATCAACTGAATCAGACAGAACATAAAAGTTTATCGTCTATAGCCTTATCTTGCCTATGTCCTTAGAATAACCTTACGTCTTCGTAACTGAACCTCATAGATGACGAGGTTGCTCTTCTGTAAAGAATCTATGAGAACAATATTTAGCAGGAAGAAAATGCCTGAATAGATGGACGTATTTACACATTTGAAATGTGTAAATAATCCTGGAGATCCACTTTAATTATTATTTCATTCCCTTTCATCAATTATTCATATTTTAGACCAAAGAAGGAGGTTTTCAATCAGGCTAACTGCAAGCTAAGTGCTAACATGTAGCAGCTAGCATTACAGTGTATTCTGTAACTATAGCAACTATAGCAACCAAAGAGGCTTATTACATTTTTATGCTTCCATTAAGGGTAAGTAATGTGTATGTAGTGGCTCTGACTAACAGCAGCTTGATTATCGGTTTAGTTATGAACTGCTGCTGTTTGTCATAATTTAGCTAAATCAGTCTCTACATGTTCACCAGGTAGAGGTTAGTGTGAGTTCAACAAATGTAGAACAAAAACTATAAGCTAAAAAAGTGAGAATAGTACAGAAAGCATACTCTTTTTTTATAGTAAATATTTGATCACATTATATATAATGTTGCTGCAATAGCCATCAGGACATTGTGGACTGCTACTTTGAAACCTCAACTTGACCATTTGATCATCAACATCTTGTCTACTCTAATGTATCTATTTTAGTAAAAATGGTAGAGCGGTTTACACAATTAGCAACATGTCGTATAAAATAGGAATTGAAATTTGAAACGGAGTCCATAAATTATTTAAGAAAGTGTTTATTGAGGTCTTACTAATGAGTGAAGACAGTGTGTACTGAAGATGGAAGGACTCCTTTGAGGAGCTCCTAATTGAGGAAAATGTAAGAGAACGGACAAATTGGAGGAAAGTTTGTGAATCAGGAAATGCAGAGGATTAGTAAGGATGAAATGAGGGCAGCTATGAAGAGGATGAAGAGTCCTGATAACCTACCTGTGGAGGTGAGGGGTGGACTTTCTGACCAGATTGTTTAACACGATCCTGGAGCGTGAGAGAATGCCCGAGGATGTGTACTGGTACCGATTTTCAAGAACAAGGGTGATGTGCGGAGGCGTAGTAACTAAAGAGTGTAGTCACTAATGAGCTGCCAGGCAGAAGGAGGACGACTGCAGAGACGATTCATGGGTGTAGTGAAGGAGGACACGCAGAGGGTGGGTGTGACAGTGAAGAATGCTAGAGATAGGGTGAGATATATAGAGATGATCTACCGTGTGACCGCTAAAGGAAGCAGCCGAAGTCGGAAGCCATTTACTGAGATCATAGATCGCTTCAGGGTCATTTTCTTACAAATTTCATGAGAACTGGACTTTTTTTTTTTTTTTTTTTTGGAAACTACAAGAGTCACTCCCTGCTGGCAATTAGGGAGAATGCAAGTTTAAGGCACTTCTTCACAGGCTTTACTTTTCATACATGCTTTAGTGACCAGGAATCAGTCCATTATCATAATTAGTATAAGTGTTGAGCTTAAGTATGAAAATAATGAGGCACCATTGCATTATTCAACCAAGAAATGCTGAAAATCAGAAACTGGTCTCAACAGAAACCACAATGCTGTGTTTCTCAGTAAAAATAAATAAATAAACAGGTAAAATGACTGGATTTCCCTCATGCCTTCTATATATTTCAGGAGATTTGTGTTAATAACCTGAAGAATCCCTGCAGTTGTCTGCCTGCAGTGCACCGCAGACACAGCTAGAAGCAGAAAATGCCAAGGCTTAATTTTGCCTGGATTCTGACACTAATACAACCATCTGTTTTTGGGTGCAGCTTAAATTGAATCAGGCCAGGAGAGTGCAGAGTGGACAAAGTGAAAGGAATACAAAGTGAATGTTCCTTCCATTTGTCCTGTGTTTCCAGATGGACAAGAGCCAGCGGCGGCTGGAGCAGGGCCTGTCACCATACCCTGAGAAAGAGGAGGAGTGGAGGAAGATGCTCCAGGACAA